CGTCAGACTCTGACTGGCTGCTCTCAGACTCGCTCTCCTCTTCCTCGTCAGACTCCGACTCCGAGTCGCTCTTCTGCTGTTTCATCTTCCTCTCGTGTTTCCTGTCTTCCTCTTCGCTGCTCTGCTCACTGACAACAGAAAGGAGACGGTGATTAAATGAACAAGACAGACACTGATTCGGTTTTAGCTAAAGGGAAGCGACACCGGATGACCTGAGGCTTTAAAACCGATTACAAAAATCCTCTGGAAAACAATAAGATTATAAACCCTTCAAACTGTGTTGGTCACCTTTCACTTTCTTGCACCGCCTTCTTTAATTCCCTCTTCTTCGTTTTCTTTTCCTCTTCTTCCTCCTCTTCTTCCTCCTCGGACACGGAGACCCCGCCGCTCTCTTCGCTCTCTGAGGCCGAGCCGCTGCCCTCGCTGCCACTCTCCGAGCCGCTGGCAGAGTCCGACTCTGGAAAGGAAAATAAAGTTTAGTCGGAGGGGAAAGTGTTTCATCAAAACTGTTTTTCCAAGTGTGGAATACAATTTCTTTTTTGTTATTTTCATCAACTATAACTCATCAATTATGTCTCTAACATTTAGTCTAAGGCCCAGATGAAGAAAACACACAAACTTTAAGCCTGAATCGAACAAGTTGAAGTTGAGCTGCTAAAATATTTTTCAGTCCAAAAGAAAGCAGTGGTGGCAGCAGTATCATGGTGTCAACTGATTAGCTCAAACTAATCAGAGGTTTAATGTTGTTATCCATTTATATTCATAGCTTATGCAAAACTTTAATAATCAGTTTGTCTGTGTTTTCAGAGAAGCAAAATATTAGATTAAATCCATCATTTATTTAAAAAAGAGGCGTTAACTTCTCTAACATTAAGTTATGTAAAAATTCAATATTTCAATTACGATATCAAAAAGCCGCGCCTCAGTGGAGTGTTTATGTTTCCTGAACTTTATTGTGATTTTGAAGACATTAATAAATAAGTATTGATAAATCCTCTCGTTATTGTGGCATAACAATAATAGAAAAGTATTTCTGTTTAGCAAACAGACGTCATTTTGGTCAGTATAACCGACCTAAAACCAGAGAGGTTTGGTCTGATTTAACTTCAGACATGGAGGGAAAAAGGTGTATTTTTATTCTGTGTATGTAAACATCTGGTTTCATCTGTTTGTCTTGGACAGCGAAACGTTAACAGCTAGGGATATTGTTTTATAACCTTTGACCTGTCTGTGTTCAGTAATGTCCCTGAATCACAGCAGATCCACCATGACTCCATGGTGGCAGACATCTGTTTTTTGATAAAATGCGTCCTGTCGCCACGCCAAGGCTAAACGTTACCGCTGTCGGCAGACTCGGTCGGGCCAGACTCGCCCTCCGAGTCGGAGTAGAACGGCTTCTCGACTTTCTTCTCCTTCCTCTTCTCCCGGCTGCTGCATTTGGTCCATTCGGGCACCTGGTGGACAGAAACGGAGCCCGGTGAGTTTTTATTTCAGCCACAGTGGAGGGGAGCAAAAACAAAGAAAAAAGAAACAACCATCAGCAAAAAGCACAGATGTGGGCAGAGTAGCATGGCCATGAATGCCTCTGCCTGGGCGTGATGCAGCCAAATGAAGCCATCCATCGCTGCTGCTGATCTGCTTTTACACAGTGGGGCCTCCGAGGGAGGGGCTAGGGGGGCCATGGCCCTCTTTTGAGAAATGCTGGCCCCCTCCCTCTAGAGGATCATGTTCAGGTCATAGAAAGGCATATAAAGTCATCTTTTTTCAATACAACAACAGAAAGGTTTATCAAATTAAAAGTTTGGTTTGGCCGCCCCTGTAAAAATTTGTGAGGCCGCCACTGCTTTTACTACGACTGAGTATTATGGCCACAATAAAAAAAAAATTAAAAATACAATTATGAGAATTAAGTCATAATAAAATGACTATAAAATAGTACAAAAAATATTATGTGAATAAAGTCATAACAGATCTATTCTCGTGATACTATGACATTACTCTCGTAGTATTACGGCTTTATTCTCGTACTTTTATATTTTTCATTTTCCTAGCATGGCCTTAATACTCCGATGTATTTTACGAGAGAAGTAAAAGAAAGAAAGAAAAGAAAATGAATTCAATTCGGATGCTTCTTTACGCCGAATGAGACGAGCACCAGGTGTTGCCTTCATGACCAGTTGCATAAATGGTTTTCTTTTAATTCAGGGAGCATTTTCATTAACAGAAGTGATGCCTTTGAGGACTTATCCTCCTACGCTTTCTTTTTCTTCTTCTTTCCAAAGAAAGCAATCTGCTTTTCCCGCTCATTGACCGGTTCGGTAATGAGCGTGGACAAGTCCCGGTCCCACTTAAAAAAAATCACTCCGCTAACGCGTTTCGACATGCCTGACGAGAAAGAATCACTTCTGTAATGGTGAGGAGGAGGGAGAGACAGGAGCTGTGTTTCAGGTGGCTTCGGCTCAGCTAAGCACAGAACAGCAACTACATAATAAGGCAGGGTGTTTAAAAGCACTCGGGGTTTGTTTTTCGCGGCTACGTGGGTTTCGGGCTGAAGGAACTTGTGGCTCGTCGCCGCTAAACGGACTCACGCTCGTCAGTGTTGTGACTCTTTCGAGCAGCGCAAAAACCTGGCAGATGTAGAAAAGAACAAACAAACAAAAAAAAGAGTAGGGATGGAGATGAGGAAGAAGGAAGGAAATGTTTTGTTTGTTTTAAGCAAGAGAGAGAGGCAGGGGACAGATATATAAAAAAAAAGTGTAAACAAGTTGGAAACTCAGAGACAGGAAGTAAACCCCGAATTTCATCACTGCATGTGAAATTATTATCACAGTAACATGGAGCGACTAAATGGTGATTTTACACTCCAATATAACTTCATATTAATGCGCAGAGCCCTCCATACGTATTTTGACCCAGGCTGCTAAAATGTGCAATAGCCTTAAAATGAAATCACATTTGTTGGTGTTTCAGTTCATTTTCTACTTATATCAGTTTAACATCAATCGCAATAATCCACATAAAATCTAATTTTAGCTTTAATTTTGAAGTTGATCAGAGTGTCTAGGATGTGTTGAAATCAATTCCCGTTTTTCTGGGGTGTAAACATAAAACTGAACATAAAGGCCATTTTGTTTTCACGCATACACAAAATGGGAAAGATAAGAAAACATTGAAAGTATGTAACTCTTATTAAACAATATGTTTTATTTTTTACATATCTGCTAAAACTGTCATATGACAGCACAATATAAGAGATAAAATTAAAAGAAAAAGAAATGGAGCTTCCCTGGCTTCTGCAGAAATACACGGATTGGTCAAAAAGAACCAATCAGAGCCAAGAACAGGACCTTAGCTCTGTCAATCACTCCAACATATGCAATGCTTACAGTTTTCCCCTTACTCTCTGCTATGCTGCAGCTGGTTCACGGATGCTAAGGCTAGTTAGCGTAGCCACTGATGACAGCAGATTAACAATTTTCCTGAAACAATAAAAGGTGATCTAATTTCAAGGTTTTTTTTACACATCTTTACCAGGGTTTCCGATACGTGTGAAGGGTGCTGTGCTCATGCACAGACATACTTACGATCAAACCATCAACAACAAAACTAGACATGGGAGTGAACAATGAAATCACGGCCATGATGAGAGGCGCAGCGATGAGTGAGATCACATCAAGCAACGCCACACGTTAAAAAAAACATCACAACTTTGAAGGAGCAGTGAGGTGCAGCAGAGGAAACAGGAACAGAGTGGGTCTGCTGGGGAAACTATGCATGAAAAGCTAAATCCTGTGTTTTTAATGTTTTACTAACAGTGTGTCGTCTCCCTGACTTCATGTTTGATATGCAAGCTTCACACCAGAAGAGCAAATGTACAATAAATAATAATATCACACCATTATTTATGAACTTTAGCTATAACTCTGAACTTAATTCAAACTGTTCTCTATTGACTGCATTTTGGATGACAGGTGAGAGAATCCATTATAGAGTATAGAGGATTCAGTAAAATCAGGTCAGAATCAGTCCAAGAACACAAATCTTACCAAGTATTTTTTTGTCTAGTTAAAGTTCAAATATCTTAGTACATTTTATAAAAGAAAACTTTTCAGTAAGATATAGAAGCTTGTTTAATGTAAATAATTCATTGGTATTTATTTTAAAAAGTGCTAGCTCCACCAGCAGATTAAACTTTCCTCCCAATCTTATATCACGTGAAATAATCTGCTAACCAGAATGTTTTCATCAATATTAGTGATTTATTGACTTAAAAGAAGCTCCTATAAGTTCCTGAAAAATTATTTAAATTACCTTTGTCTTATATAAAATGTACTAAACATTTGCACCAGAAACTAGACAAAAAAACGGTAAGACATTGTGTTTTTGCAGTGCACAATAATGCCTTCAAATTAAGATTACTACTAATCTACAAATGCTAGAAAATTTTATGCTATTTCTATTTTCAGGGAAGCGTCTTTGACCAAATGTTGAGATCAGATTTTTTTTTTTAAATTATAATTTCAACGTTCACTTATAAAACAGACAAAAATTCTGTAAGATTCAGAAAATTTGAATCGTGGACAAACTTTTTGTTCACAATTCCAGCTTTGCCAACATTCGGTAGAGAAAAAGAGCAAGAGTGAAATCTGAAGGAAATGAGAGGGAGCAGCCATCAGAACCCAAACCACTGCACTCAGACCCTGCAGGCGGGGCACCTCTCGCCAGTCTCCCAGCAGGCCGATCCGCCCCTCTCCGGTGGTTATGACTTCCTCCGTCTGACGACGGGATGCGGAGTGCAGAGAGAGACAGAGCCGGTCAAAACTGAGCCTTCAGGGGGCCAGGGACCCCCCGTGCCCAACCGGGTTTTAAAAAGGCCAAATCTTAAAGCATCTGAGATGGTAATTCAAAAATCCTACTGATGTTTTAATTTGTTTTAGCCCTTTAGCTAAAATGTGAGGATACCACACACACATTTTAGATAATTTTTTTGTTTCTGTTTGTTATACACTATAAATTCAGCTGAGACAGAGTAGATCAAAATTAGAACATCAACATTATCTTAATGATTTCCACGAGTTTTTGGCAGAGGAGAAAGAAAATCTGCATATTGACAATAGCAGTTGTAGAGCCGCACAATATGTCGCATCACTTCTGTCTTCGCAGTATTAACGTCACAATCGAAAAGGAATGCTTGGATTTCTTAAGTCACTGTATTTCCATCTGAATCTGACCAGAGGGATTTGTTTGTTATGGATAGATGCTTTGATTTTTTTTTTTATTTGATAATTTTAGATTGTTCATACAAGACGTTAAAAATATATGGCTGTCTCCGACCTTTGGCTGAGGTTCACACAAACTTCAACACTAACAGACTAGCTCAGAAGCAGAGCTAGCTCAGCCTTTGAGCTAGCTCAGGTAGGCTACCTCAGAAGCAGAGCTAGCCTACTTCTGCAGTAGATTGTGGAGTCTTTTGAGCTAGCTGAGCTGTATGATCTATGTGAAGAGAAGCAGAAACATGGAGTCAGGGTTTCTGCTTACACATGTTGTTTCCTTCAATGAGAATATCTATGGAAAAAAGCAACAAACCCATTCTAAATCCAAATAACCAACATTTACGAGAATCTTGTACTAATTCAACAAACTGGAATATGAAAAAAAACATCTTCTCTTTCCTGTTGCAAAAAATCAAATGTAAATTATTTGCACTCATGACCTCATCAATGGTAGGTTCCTGGTTTCACTATTAAACAAAAACACAATATGTGACGGTAGAATCAAGTCTTAGCATCACTTGATTCTACGTCCATTTAAAACACACTGTGCTGCCAACGGCACATGGAGAGGATGGGATGGAGGAGAAGAGGAGAGACTTTGGTCAGAACTGGTAAGACTTTCTCTTAAACAGATTAAATCATTATTTTTGTGAAAATGTTGATGATTAATTTAGGAAACAGCTTAATCTAATTTCAAATTAAATGCAATGTTCCCAAGTGGTTTGTAACTAGGCGTGGGCTGGCTGCCTGTGCTGCGGTAATTCAATGTTTTGAGTCGTTTCAAAACGGATAAAATTTTCCATCATGCTGTTCTTGCAGTTTGCATGAGAGGCGAGAGAAAGCACCAGAGAAACTGGTAATATGGAGAGCATAGGTGCAAAAAAGCCTGCACCATTAAAAAAAAAATGAACATGTGAATCAGAACAACGCCATTGGTCTCAGTTCAGAACCAAAGCCTGCTCCCCCTCCGTGTCACAATGTGGTTCAAACAGCTGTGAGAAACGATGTGTGGACGGGCCGAGGAGCTGCTGCCCAGCAGAAGCGAGTGCAGCAGAGAGGATGAGAGGAGCTTGCTACCACGGACTGTTTCCCAGATGCGTCTGAATATTAAATTTCATTGCAACAACTTTCTCTCATCAACAAGAAAAGAATCCCCTTTTCTTTGTGACTCGTTCTCCTCAATGGAGGGAAAGCCTTTAAGCAACATCCATCAGGGTAGTCGACGGCGACCAGAAGGATGTGTGTTAATGGCAACGGGCTGTAAATGGATGGATGAAGAATCCATGATATATTGGAGGTGAGATTATTTTGGATGGGAAGCTCTGGAGTCCAGCCCCTCTGAGGCACTGCTCTGGCGAAGGAGCAGCCCTCGCTCCCCTCCGTCTGCCGGGGCCCCCATGGGGCCCCGGTGTCTCTGTATGTTACTGTTCCCACTGCACGCACAGACTCCTTCACCTCCACGTTGCGCACGGAGGGGTCGGGGGCGCTTTCGGGCCAGTCGGGCAGCTCCTGGTAGCCCCCAGCCTTGGCATTCAGCAGGTGGGAAAGCGAACCCAGCTGGAAGTGGTCTCTGTCTGCACAAACACAAAGCAGCAAGTACAGGGGAAAGAAATCTGCAATCTGAGAAATCTGACATGATCGAGCTTAAAATCTTGTTTCGGTGTTTCAGGTTTACAACGTGGAGTCAGTAGTTTAAAAACTAGTTCAACGCAGCGGTTTGGACATTATGCTAGTCAAGTCCTGAGTCAAAAGAAACTTTAAAAGAGATTTATGGATTTTATCTTGTAGTAAAATTACAGCTGCAACTAAAGAGTATATTGGTAATAAATTATTCAAATTCAAATAAATTATTATTGATTATTCTGATGATTAATCAAATAAAAATGTTCATTTAACTGTTTAAGCCTTTCTAACAATCTTAGAAATATATTAAAAGATGCAAACAAACAAATAATTAAACTCCTTGAATGAGATCACCATTAATCGAGTTAATCCAACCAACCGTCTCTAAATGAAACCCTAATTGTGCATAGATCTAACTGCGATGCTAATGAGTTGTCTGCTGCAATTAAGACCTGATTATGTTCGCATATCAACTAAATCTGTTTTTGACTGTCTGAATTGTTCAGTTTTATTTTTTCCATTTGTGGAATCAGTGGGTTTTGTTAAGATTAAAGCCATTCAACATTCTTAAAGAGCTTTAGATGTAACAAACACAAAATAAATACTGCATTTGGAAAAATAATTCAGCTCAGAGAAACATCAAAGTGACAACTGTCTGAATGCAGGTCGTTCTTCCTGCCGTACCTTTAAACGGAGACTCCAGGACGGGTGCAGGTTTCAGAGCCAGGAAGAGCTTCTTGGCGTACTTACTGAGGGCTCCGCTCTTCTCCGTGGGAACAATGAGCTGCCGAATAAAGCGGGCCCGATCGCGGATGTCGTAGTTCTGGTCGTACTTGGCCAAGTTGAGAACATACTGCGTCAGCAATTTAGTCTGTAGGAAAGAGGACACAGAGGATGAGGACAGCTGACCCTGGAATCCCCTGACACGGAAAGGCCAACATTTTTCCACATTCTGTTTTCTCTTTGCATATCAGAACTTTTCTGTAGCTTTCCATACTATTAATGAAACCTGGATAAATTCGGAGTAATTCTAGCCTCACATATGTAGAGGACTTAGTCCGTATGTTGTTAGAGAAAACCTTCAGCTGGGTACCTGCTTAGAATTGGTGAGGTAAAGCTTCGCGGCCAGATTTAGGATCTGCAGCTTGACGATGTCTTCCTCATTGGTGAACGACTTGGCCATCTTCCTCAAGACGTCAGGAGCGATCTTTGGCACGTGCTCGCAGTATTCTCCAATCAGCCACAGGATACTGGCTCGCGCCATCGGGACCTATGGGAGCACGCCAAACTGTGAGACCTACCTTTATTTGTGTTGTCTGCAGAATCTGTGGCCATGCTAACGGAGAGGAGGCGAAATCGTAACCTGGATGTTGTCTGTTAGTTTCGCCATGTGCTTGATGATGTCACTGTGCTTCTCCGGCTGCATTTGGAGCAGCTTCTTGATGACAACCACCGACTCGGCCACCACCAGCTCTGTAGACGAGTCAAACGTTTGCATCAGTCAGTGAAAGTACAGAGTGTTACAGTTCAGACCCACATCTGTAGAAACTTGGTATTCATGTCAGGGATGCGCAAAATGAGGGGGGGGAAAAAACATGGCGCAATAACTCGCTATAAACTCGCTATAAATGTGACTATTCAATTCTGAGTTGAAAAAAATCAAATCAATAACAAAAGCAACAACTGACTTGACCACCTTACTGTCTTTACCTGTGAATTTTTTAGGTTGCTTCAAGCAACCACTGTCAGCAGATTAGGGCAGCAAACAAGGATTATTTAATTAAAAATGTAATAATCTGATCAAAAAAAAATGGGTATGTTCTTCATGTTTTTCATTTTACCATGTTAGCCTTTTTATTCAATATTTTAAATACATTAAAAGATTAAAATAAGCAAAACCCTTTAATTACTTTTTTAATTCAGAAAATATTTTTTTAAATTAAAATGCGATAACATATAGCATTACTTTAGTAAATCTGAGCCAGATGAAGCTAAAGCTATGCCAAAAATATTTACAGACAGATGTTTTTATTTTGAATTCAAAATGTAAATATATATTGTACAGTTTTAGATTAATTAAAGCTCTGAATATGTTGTTTCTTCAGCAAATCGTCTGTTCTTTAAGTCCAGTTAGTGACTAATCGATCACAAAATTGAATAATCAATTAATCGTTTCAACCCTACACCAGATACACTTTGTTGCAGGCATGCAAAGCCTGATGCATGTTACTTAAATAATTAACTAACATTCATTGCAATTTGAGCACCATTTTGAAATATACATATTTCATAGTAATACATTTACAAATAAATAGAGCTGATTAAAATAAAATATTATTTCATGCAACTATCTCGTTTACTACAGAATATTTACCAATTTTTATGGCTCTCTCTACTCTTACCATCTCGGTTGGACAGCAGCTGCACCAGGCCATTCAAACACGTGTCTCTCACTTCACCGATGTTCGTAGCACAGCGGCCGATAGCCTGAATTGTTGCAGCCACGAAATCTTTATCCATGCTTTTAATGTATGTCTGTCGGAAACACACCAACACGTTCATTATTGTTGTATCTCAGCATCACAGTGTAGGTCGACAAAACCGAGGAATTATTATAAAGTACATTTAATTTGACGTTACCTGAAACTCCCTGAGAATAGTGGAAATGTTTGTCTCATTGGCCAGATTGGTGAGAACCTCCAGCTGTGAAAAACAACAACATGTCGGCAAATTTCTAACAAGCCTTCTGGGTTTAGCGGGTTAGACAGAACAGAACAGAGAGAAACCTTAAGGATTTTAATCTGGGTTGGGTCCGTGGAGCGGATGTAGAAACTCTTCAGGTACGGTTCGAACATGCCCTGCAATACACACACACACCAAAAAGTACCCCACATAAATCTTTGAATTTAAAATGCAAAACAAACAGGCTAAGTGTAGTCCAACAAGTGTAACTTACCCGCCTCTTAATGGTCATGGTGGCCACATTCTGAAGAACGACGTACTGGACCTCACTGATGGAACAGAAGAGAGAGGGAAGGAACTGGTGGAGGTCTTTCAAATGACAAAGTTGAATTACTTTAAAGTGTCTTTTTGGACTAAAACACTGAAGTTACCACACTGGACATCCACAGCTAATAAACATTAGCAATGCTACTTAGCCTATTAGCATTGCTAATGTTTGGATTAGCTATGGATTACTTAGCCAATCAGTTAGAGAGAAACCTAACTTAGCACTTAGCAGTTATTAGCTAACTGCTATTAGTTAGCATTGCTAGCAAATTAGAAATCAACATAAAATCATAAAATGTCAATATCTGAACATTTTTTTGTGAAGTGTGTATGTAGGAAATGCAACACAGTTCAGAATATAGAAAAACTTTGATCAAATTAGGATTAAACATTTCTGTGTTAGTCTATAGCTCTTTAGCAATTGTTTGGTCTCTGATGTTGCACGGGGCACCAACTACTGGAGAGGCAAGAAACACATTTAATATACATTTAAAAAATCAAAGAACCCCGTATATTTAGCCTCTTCTTATTTTAACCGTTAATTCATGTTGACTTGATAAGTGTGAACAGAATGAGAGACTCTGTTCAGTTCATCTTGTCAGTTCATTTACATCATTCAATCCTTTTACATAAAAAAAAAAAATCTGCCACTGTAAAAAATGCTGGGGAACTTTCTATTTAAATGATTAAACGCTCAAGCTTTTATTGTTTCTCTTTTATGTTTTCAATATATTTCACAAACTAATCTGCCTTATTATTTCACAGTCTTAGTGAAAATAGGATGGGATGACAACACTTTTAATAAAAACAATAAAGTGCATAGTTTTCTTCTCCCATGTCTATATTAACTAGAAAGTAGTTCGCAGATCAGAATATCGGAGTGTATCAAAGCTGCTTTGTTTCTCACCAAGGTTATTTGATTAACCTAACACTATTGATAGGTTAATCAAATAATGCTACTGTAAACACTGTAGGTGCTGTGTAACCATATAACCTGTTTGGTTATATGATTACATCATGTGTCATGCTGAACCCATGAGGTAGTCCTGCTTGAAGCAGCATGTGCTGCCTGTCGTCAGGTAAATCAAACATCTCTCCTAAACACACGCACAGAGGAAATGTTAAATACATTATTCTGCGTATAGAGGCTCTGAAAGTCAATTTTTATTGCACCAGTAAAATCGCATTTAACCTTTACTGGATACAGCTGGTGTAACCCCACGCCCCGCCCACACACACTTAGTTCATTGGGTTTCATATTTTTCGCCTTTTACAACGAGTCTCACTTTCTGTTTGCCTGATTTCCCCGGACAGAACTGTGAAACACTCGCCGTTAAATTTTATTACTTTCAGCACAAGTCTGTCTGAGATTTGTGCGTTCACACCGACCCAAACAAACCGGACTTTCTAGGAAAGTCTGTCAAGCACGATACAAACCTTTTTTTCTTGCAAATTTAGTCCACATGCACTTCACTGGAAATGCACTTAAAATATGTTTCTACTCTGAATATCAATAAGTCTTATCAAAACAAAGAGAAAACAAGCTAATGTTAGCATACCATTATAGCAAAAAGCTCACAATTGTCAAGATTTGAGCTTTTTGTGAAGACTGTAGCTGTAAGCGTCGTGTCAGATATATCTATAGCAACAAGGCTGCACCAGTAGGAACTCCAGATATCAGATGTACTTTAAAATCTCAGAGTTTTTAAGCATCTGCATTTGCTGAAATATTGGACTGGGACTCTGTATTGTACGTGTGTCAAACTCAAGGCCTGGGGGCCAAATCTGGCCTGCAGAAGCTGTTT